TGTACATTGTAATCCGCCCTGAGTCCCCCGTGGGGTGAGAAGGGTGGAATATAAATACTGTAAATAAATAAATTTACATCCTCATACTAGTGTTTAGTTTAACGGTTTTTGTTATTGGAGTGCATTCCCCCCATAGGAAAGTTTTGCTCCACGACCTCCACTAAAACGAGCTCTCCTCCGCAAATAATCTGTCCTTGTTTATCTCGCCTGAGTTTTTAATCTGTTTCTACCCAATTTTCTTTTATTCATTGCATGTAGCTCGCCCATGTTACCGTGATTGTGTTTATTGTAATTTTATATTGCTATGTTGTCTTTTGTTTTATGTAATTGCGTTATTATTGTTTATTATTTGCGTTTTCGGTTTTGGTTTATTTCATGTAATTGTTGTTTTGGGCTTGGCCTCATATAAGCCACACCGAGTCCCCATCAGGGAGATGGAGCGGGGTACAAATAAAGCTTATTAATTAATTAATTAATTAATTAATTAATACAGCACTTACTGGCTGGCTGTTTTTATAGTCCAAAATATAAAACACAAAGATAGCATGCAGCTACAGAATAAACAAAAACTGATAGCAAAAATAGCTTCATAGTCAAAAGGGTCCAGCATTTCTGTGTTCTCAAATAATATGCTCCAACCAGAGAAGTCAGCCATAGCAGAGCACCTGATGAACCAACCTGGACACAGCATATTATTTGAGAACACAGAAATGCTGGACCACTCTCACAATCACCATGTCAGACTACACAGAGAAGCCATTGAAATCCACAAGCATGTGGACAATTTCAACAGAAAGGAAGAAACCATGAAAATGAACAAAATCTGCCTTTTGAAATTCTATGTATAGATTGGCCAGACATCACCCTACCCCTTGGTTTTATGTACAAGTAAAGATAAAATGTATTTAATTATATATATATATATACACACACACATACATACACACACGGAAATAAACAAAATCTGGCTTCCAGTAAAGAGAAAATGTATTTAATTATATATATATATATATATATATATATATATATATATATTAGGGCTGGGCGGTTTCGTTCGTTAATTTCGTAATTTGTTATTACTTTGTTATTTTTTTTGATAACGAAGCGATATTGAACCATTCAGGAGCAACTAAAATTTTTCCAATTCATTTCGTAATTGTTTCGAAATTGTTTTGTTATTATTTCGTTATTATTTCCGTATGTCTGGTGCAAGTTTTATAGTCGTTGTTTGTTTTATCAGTGATAAAAAAAAATCACACCAACAGTCAACAACAGAGGGAGAGGGAAGCTTCAGAAGTTCCCCCTGTCCCATTTGGAGGGTTTTTTAGCGTATTGCGCAATCGCGTCCGCCATTAACGAATCGATTCGTTATTGTTTCGAAATTGTTTCGTAATTTCCGAAATTTCGTAAATATCGAACTTTTTAAAAGAAAAATTTCGGAATTCTTTTAAATAACGAAACGCAAAAAACCCCCTAAAAACGAATCGAGTTTAGAAACAACAAATAGCTAGGTTTTTTTTCCCTCTCAAAGGGACATCACAATGCACAGGCCATTTAGCTGCCAGAAATAAGATCATCGACGCTCAAGGACATTCTGGGCAAAAATGAAGTAGCTCTCAAGCAGAACATTGCTACCCTGACTACAAAATAATATGAATGAGTCAGCTAGGCATTGAGCCATAATGTCAAAGGCTGGTGCACTGCATTATGAGCATCACAATTCAGGTAGGAATTTCAATGCTGCTGGAGACTGGTGCTGGCATCATATTCATTACAGTCAATGAAGAAAGGGTTGGGTATCTCTTAATGTGAGCATTCTTAGAGGTTTCAAGCGCATGCATATTCAATGAGGGAATATCATGAATCTGCAGGGTAAAAATAAAAAAACAGCCAGCGCATTTGAGAAGAGAATGCAAGACAGCACAATCAATCCTCACTTGTTCTTTGTGGCTAAATTGTCTTTCAGCCGCTAAATTGGCATCATTGTGGTTAAGCTGTCTTTCCGTGCAGCCACTCTAAACAAAGATAGGAGCAATTGCAAATCATGCTGCCAAATGTTCTTTTTTGATAACTGTAGATGGAGTTACCTGCAATGATCCTTGCCTATTTTAGGCAGTATTTAAGGCATGTTGGAATCCATACGTGACAGAACAGGAATCAAGTGAAGGGATGGAAAGCAGATTGTTAGGTAAAGTTTTTATCCTGACATTAAGTCCAGTCATGTCTGACTCTGAGGATTGGTGCTCATCTCCATTTCTAAGCCGAAGAGCCGGCGTTGTCCATAGACACCTCCAAAATCATTTATTCAATGGCATTGTCCAGTTGCTCTGAGATCAGAGTTTGTCTGAGAAAGCCTGCTCAAAAAGCCAGGTTTTAACTTTTTTGTAAAATGTTAAGAGGGTGGGGGACGATCTAATGTCCCTAGGGAGGGTGTTCCACAGCCGAGGGGCCACCGCTGAGAAGGCCCTGTCTCTCATTCCCGCCAACCGAATTTCTGAAATTATTTATTTTATTTACATTATTTATATTCCGCCTTTCACATCCCACAGGGGACTCAGGGTGGATTACAATGTACACTTATATGACAAACATTCAATGCCAAAGACACACAACAGATATAAACAGACAGTCAGAGGCTATTTAACTTTTTTTCTGGCCGCCAGGGGAGCTGTCGCTTTCATCGTCCATCTGCAACACTGATGAAGTACTTCTGCATTCCCCGCATGCTTTTCTGGAGTGCTTTGCTGGTGTCTTTTTTATGGCCTCGTAAATTAGTTAAATTAGCCTCCCCACACATAGGTGATCTTCTGGGCCTCCCCAGAAGATCTTAGATTCCTAGATGGTTCATAAGGAGAGATACGTTCGGACAATTCTGCCACATCTATGGCCTCTTCAAGACCATTTTAAGTTCTGGAGAGGCTTAATCTCCTATAGGAAGCCAACTACTGGATCATTTCCTTTTTGGAAAAAGGTTTCTCCTAGGCCTCCAAAAGTCAGAAGGCAAATGTCATGACCTTGTCTAATAGCTGTTAGATTCACAACTGATCCCCCTCCAAAAAACCACTTTTGAGACTCCCCAAAGCCCACAGAAATGGTTCTGGCAGGCTGCATTCAGACTATGAGTCACATTTTTTTTCCTACTCTACTACTTTAAAGTTCGTAATCTAGTATTTTAGGGCTTTTTCAACATACACATGAAAATCCAGTTTGATGCCGGCTCAATGTTAAGGCATCCACAAAACATACAATCCAATCCAAGCTGCAAAATGTGTCAAGCCAAAACAGTGTATTAAAAAAAACAAAACCTCAGTACTGAAGCACTTGGAGAAAGAAACCGGATACACAGCTCAGCAGGAAGGTAAACAGTCCCCCCCCCCCCCAGGACATGACAGTGTCCCCATGAGAACACTCAGTTTTCTTATCTTGGTTTGTCCTGTTTACCTCCAGTGCTGAGCCCCCCCCCCCCCTCAGCACCAACCGCTGCTCTGAGATCAGAGTGAAGAGAGGGGCCAGGAAGGCAGTTCCATCTTGTCTCCTGCACTGTGCTTATAATATAATATAATATAATATAATATAATATAATGCAATATAATGCAATATAATATATTGTATATACATATAAAAGTGATAATATTATAATGTAATACAATATACTACTACTAATAATAATATAATATTATAATTATATATTTTATATTAAATGTAATATTACTAATAAGATTACATTATAATGTTATAGTACCATGTAATATATAATATTAATATTATGCCGTCGCGCCTGGGACTATAGGTCTTAGAGAAAGAAGCATGGACGTGACATCTTTCCCCAGGGGATTGCTTCTTGCCCTCCTTTAGGGAAACTGGAACTCCAAAGGACCAGAACACAACAGGTAACTCGAAATGGTGTTTATTGATGACAATGAGTCCTCTTTCTTAGGCACAAACTTGATGTTTCAACCGGGAAAAATACTTTACAAACGTTAAAGTCCAGGGTCCTAGGAGTTATTAGCTGAGAAGCTTTTTCCTGTTCCCTCTCTCTCAATGGCTGTGAATATCGAAATAAACACAACCCCAGTTCAATGGCCTATGATGAAGGATAAGACCTTCCTATGGTACCAAAAGAACCGGTGTGAAGGCGCCTGAGATCTTCACAATGTCGTTCAGGGGGTCTGAATATAAAGAATAAGTCTCAGGGGTAAAAACCTAAGAACTGGTGGTAAAAAATGACTTGACCAGGGGCTTTGGGCCAAGCTTTGCACATGTCCATCTAATGAGTCTTTTTCTGAGGTAAAAAAGGTGTGAGAGAGATACCTTTCTTTTTCCCTTAGAAGGGGCGGAGCCTAAACAAAGAACTGGGGAAACAAGCCAATTGCTGCACAACAACAATAAACTGACAGCTATAACAACCAATGAAATTTAACTATACATATACAAGGTAGACAGGCATAATATGACAGTTTAAATCCTGCAAATAACAGCTCTACATATAGGTGGCGCCACACACGCCGTCACAAATATTGTGCTATGATAATAATATATTGTATTTACTTTTTACTTGCAAGCCACTCTGAGTCCCCTTCGTGGTGAGAAGGGCAACATATAAATGTTGTAAACAAACAAACAAACAAACAAACAAACAAACAAACAAACAAACAAACTGATTCTCACCAGCCAGAATGCTTCTTATCTGTGAATCTAGCTGGATGAGGTAGGAGTAACCACTGTCTCAGCTTGGAACTGGTTCCTGGGGTGCCTGTGTAGGCACTCTGCAATGAACCAATTCTCTTTAAACCATGCTCTGACTCAGATTAAATGGCTATGTAAAGGCAGCCTTAGAGGTTTCAAACACTTAGTTCTCAGCCCATGAAATAGGGCAAAGAAGCAATTGCAAATGAAAAAGCGAAACCCTGGAGCATCAAGATGACTCACAATGCCACTGCTGTCCTGTAGAAAATGAGTCTGCTAATATCTGTGCATAAATTTGCCATCTGGCTTCTTACCTTCGATCACTGGCATCCTATGCCAATTGAAGTAGCATATTCCATCCATTTGAATAAGTCAGCAGTACTGGTGAAGTTGTCAGTTCATTGCTGCTATGTATCCAATATGCCAGACCTTCTGTAAAAGACAAATGTTAAAACGGTTCAGTTGAAATCCAGAGTAATGGAGATTACAAGCCTGAAAAAAGTTACAGAAAATGTACACATCAAATGTACACATCAAACTACTCTGGGACTTCCAAAATCAGACTGACAAGAGTTTTGGAGTACAATACTCCTGACTTTACAATCATGTTAAAAAACAAAGTATGGTTTGTCGATGTTGCAGTCCCAGACAACAGCAGGATAGAAGAGAAACAACTGGAAAAGCAGACATGATATGAGGAATTAAAGATCGAACTGCAAAGACTCCGGCACAAGACAATCAGGGTGGTCCCAGTGGTGATCGGCACAATGGGTGCAGTGCCTCAAGACCTTGCTCTGCCCTTAAAAATAATCTGCACTGACAAAATTTACCATCTGACAGCTGCAAAAAGCCACCCTACTGGTATCTGCATGCATTATTCGCAAATAGTGTAGCCTGTTGTTGACCTTTGCAACCCGAAAGACAGTTGCATCTGTCAAGTAGGAAAATAAGGTACCACCTTAAAGTGTGAGGAGGCTAAATTAACTGATTTATGAGGCCATAAAGAAGACTCCAGCAAAGCATTCCAGCGGGGAAACGTGCGGGGAATGTGGAAGTGCTTCATCAGCGTCACAGATGAACGATGAAAACTACAGTTCCCCTGGCGGCCAGAAAAAGTTAAATAGCCTCTGTCTATGTCTGTATATGTTTGTATGTCAAAAATTGGCATTGAATGTTTGCCATATATGTGTACACTGTAATCCGCCCTGAGTCCCCTGCGGGGTGAGAAGGGCAGAATATAAAAGCTGTAAATAAACAAATAATAAATATAAATACATCACATAGTCCTAGACACTTGGGAAGTGTCTGACATGTGATCCACTACAACAACCTTTATAGTGATCTTGTTTTCTGTGTACTAATCTTGCTGTGTTTCAAATAATAATAATATGATTATAACACCAACAATAACTTTAGTTTTTTACCCTGCCTCCATTTCCTCGAAGGGACTTGAGGTTTCATACATATGGCACAATGTGCCTAAAACAATGCATAATAAACCCACAATACAATACAAAAGAGCCCAACTGCTCATTGGAGGGAAGAATAGTAGAGGCCAAGATGAAGTACTTTGGCCACATCATGAGAAGAAAGGAAAGCTTAGAGAAGACAATGATGCTGGGAAAATGGAAGGAAAAAGGAAGAGGGGCCAACCAAGGGCAAGATGGATGGATGGCATCCTTGAAGTGACTGGATTGACCTTGAAGGAGCTGGGGGTGGTGGCGGCCGACAGGGAGCTCTGGCGTGGGCTGGTCCATGAGGTCACGAAGAGTTGGAAAGGACTGAACGAATGAACAACAAAACAATACAAGGTAAAACCAATAACACATAAAACAGAGTTTAAGCTCACAACAGTGCCCAATAACCTATGTTGAAAACTATCATAAAACATAGCCAACTGCTTCATTTGTCACATTCTGATTTATTATTATTTTATTATTAAACTTTATTTGTACCCTGCTAGCATCTCCCGAAGGATTCCATGCGGCTTACACAGGCCGAGGCCTCAACAACACAACATAACAATACAATCTAAGCAAATCAAACAATTAAAAACAGAATAAAGCAAAGTAAACAACAGGCACAATACACTAAAACACAATAAAACTAAGCCGGGCCAGAAGGTGGGTACAAGGATTAAAAGTGCTGATGTGACAGGAGGTGTATAAAGGGCTTCTAGGGCAAGTGCGATGTGCGGTGTGCAACAATAATTGGTTCTGGTAAAGTGCTTATGGGACTTGGTAGTGGAGATTTCTTAATCTGGGAAGGCGCATCAGAAAAGCCAGGTTTTCAAGTTCTTTCTGAAGACAGCCAATGAAGGGGCCTGTCTAAGGTCTTTGGGTGTTCCAGAGTTGGGGGGCCACCACGGAAAAGGCCCTGTCCCGCGTCCCCACCAAGCGCGCTTGCGACGCTGGTGGGATCACAAGCAGGGCCTCCCCAGATGACCGAAGTGAACGCGTGGGTTCGTAGATGGAGATGCGGTCATGCAGGTAGGCTGGTCCCAAACCAGCCTACCTGTGTTATGCTGCTTCCCTCTCAAGGAACACAGGATCCAGATCACTGTTTGAAAATATGTTTCATCAGTTCACACAACTTAGCCCTGTTTCAGTTTGCAGTGTCCCAGACTTTAATTATCGCAAGCCAGAGAGTGGGAGGACTGAAATGAAAATTTGCTGATAAAGGGTTCCTGGTGTACAAATCGATTTTACATAGCGGTTCTTTTATCCACACTCTTAATGAGATTATCCCTTTCACTTGTAAACTAAGCCATGTCTTAAAGACAGTGTTTATCCAAAATGGCAACCATAGCAATTTGGAAATTGGTGGTAGTTTACATGGAGAAAAAGAAAGAAAAGCCAAGGAGAGTGGTCAAACAAGCTCATTGTGCCCATGGAAATTACTTCACAGGGCCTGATGCTAAATGGATAGTCCTGGGTCCCAAGAACCAGCTGAATCCTGCATTGTGCTTGCATGATAAAAAGATTAGAGGCTGAAAAGCAGAGGAACCGAATCTCACAGCTTCTTAGCCTGCATAGTGAAAGGACCATTGTGCCATCCTCATAAATCCTCAGCTCCCTGGGCTCTTGACAACTAAAGCAATGGACAATAGAATTCTTGTCTTGAACAAAACATCCCTTGTCTGCCAAGGGGCTTATCTGCTTAATTTACGAATGTCTTTCATTGTCCCCCCGAATAATTCCCCATTAGAAAAACTATTATGAGGCAAACTGAATAAATATTCACAGCTTTGTGGTAAATTTGCTAACATGAATGCACCAATAAAAAAGGCGAGGGGGGCATGAAAAATATGAGACCTCTGCTTTCTCGGCTCCTTTTCAGAGGCACCAGTTTCTCATTATGAAATGTGCCGGGTGTATATGCCTTTGTATCAGGCGCTGCTTTATTACATGGAGAGCACGTGCAACAGGAGAAGAAAGGAAATGCTTTGTAGTGTGATAATATATGAGTAGACCTATGCATGTGACGTGTATATAAGTAACTTCGTTGTGGTATGTTCACCAATCACACCCTCTTTGCATTTGAATTCTCTTACATGGAAGTGACTCATCCCTCACTCTCATTCATCCACTGTGACAGAGAAGGGGGAAGTTTATTTATTTATCATATCAGAAGCTCCATAATTTCAAATTCCATTTGCTCCACCATATATTGGTACCATTTATTTACTGTCCATTTTGATTTATCTTTCCACCCTAATACTATTACTGCTTGTGCACATTCTATTATTGCTTCTTTTATTTCCCGTTTCCTCTCTTTTCCCTAATACTGCTATTTCCTTTATTATGACCCACACATTTCCTTGTATTTGATTTGACTTATTTTGTATAATCTGCCAAAAATATTGTACATATTCACATTCCCACATCATGTGCATAAACCGCCCTTTCTGATGGCATCCATGCCCGCACTGACTACTCCCCATTTTATAGTAGTATGCTAATTGGCAGGGTGTACGATACCATTTGTGCAATAATTTCCTCCTCGTTTCTCGTACTTTAGTATTCCTTTCCATCCCTATTGTCTCTACCACATTTCTCATTTCTTGTTCCAAGATTTGTAACTCCGTTTCCCACATACTTTTCAAATCCCGTATTGTACATCCATCAGCCTCTATTAGCATTGTATATATTTTGCTGGCCAAGCAGGATTTTGACCTCGAGTAGGCTGAATGGGCCCATATGAAGTTGACACTTGGTACTTTGTGAATTGATGGTAGCTAGTTTTATCTACTGTTGTTTTTAAAATTGTATTATTTCGATTTTATGCTTTATGTGTTTTATTATTTTTTATTTTGTTTATAGTAGCTGTTAAATATATTTTATTTATATATATATATATAAATGAGTAAACCAAAATGTTTTTAATATGGAACATTTTACAGCATATTCTCTCTGTGTTCCATTTAGCTACTTATATTCTTTATGTTGGAATAACACCTGTGGCCAGGAGAACAATGAAAGTTACAACAAGTATAATCTCCACAATTATGATTATCATTTTTGTATTCTTCCACCACATCTTCCTTGCAATCTTTGTAGTGGTTTTTTGGAAACCATGAGCTGCTGTTTTTTATGTGTTTTTAAATACATTTTTATTGTTATTTTATTGTTTTATCCCACTCTCATACTCCCCTCCTTGTAGATACAATTTTTACAGCAAACTATAGAAGTTACAATATCAATCATAGTCTTATTTTGTCTACTCCACACCTTAGCACATTCTCTAAATAATTCCACATTTAACATATTAACTATATACTTATACCAATTCATCAGAGTCCATTTTGTTTTATCTTTCCAACCCCTCACTAAAACAATTCGGGACACGCTATTAATTTGTCAACCAATTTTTCTGTTTGTATATTATTCACTCCTGTTATCCTTGCATGTAGTAGATTTTAGGCTTGGGCGGTTTCGTTTGTTAATTTCGTAATTCGTTATTAATTCGTATTTAAATTAGTTTACGATCCAATATTGAGCCATGCAGGAATAGTGTGAGGAGTAAATTAGATTCGAAACAATTTTTTCAATTTATTTCGTAATTATTTTCGCATGTCTGGTGCAAGTTTTATAGTTGTTGTTTGTTTTATCACACCAACAGTCAACAACAGAGGGAGAGGGAAGCTTCAGAAGTTCCTCCTGTCCCATTATCATCCGGCCTCTCCGGATGATCGAAGGGATCGTGTGGGTTCGTATATGGAGATGCGGTCACGCAGGTAGGCTTTGTAGGTAAGAACCTGCACCTTGAATTGGGACCGGTAAATGAAGGGCAGCCAGTGGAGCTCCCTGAACAGGATTCTTTCTTCCTTCTACTCCCTCATGTAAAATCATTTAGTAGGATTTCACTTGCTTGATCAACAGTTCAATGCTTAACATGAAGCATCTGTTAAATGGAGACTGCTTTAAATGCTC